TTTTTTTTTTAATTTTCTTTCTTTCTTTTCTTTCTTATTTTATATATATATATATATATATATATATAATATAAGAATATAAGAATTGTTTGATTTTAAAATATATTATAATATTTTTCAGTAAAAAAAATATTAGGACAAATATTTAAGATAATTTAATATTTTTAATTTATAATTTTATTACTTATATTTTTATTTAAATATAATTTTAATATATTTGTTACTTTTATTTAAATTTTTTTTAAATAATGAATTTTTTTTGTTACTTTTAATATATTTTTTACCGACTAAATCTTAGTCGGCGATTATAATTACAAAATTTAAAAATTGTGCTTCAGACTTCGGAGGGAAATTTCATTGGCGACTACAAAAATTGGTCGAGAAAGAAAGGTTTAAGATTTCAAATTTCATTGGCTTCAGATTTCAGATTTCGTTTTTCTGTCTCTCACTCTCTGACTCTCTCTCTCTCTCTTTCTCACTCTCTCATGCCTCTGCCCTCCTCCAGCTCTCTCTCTTGCCTTTGTCTCCGTCGGCGTCTGGTTGTGGTTGTGCTTTGTGGTAGAATTCTTTAGGCTGCCATATGGATGTTTTGAGTCACGTGTAATCTCCTCCATTTGTTGATATATAACAACATCGCTCCCGTGGACGTAGGCCGGTTTGCCGAACCACGTTAAAACTCTTGTGTTTTTGCTTGTGAGTGTCCCCTGGTGTGCCCACGATCCGCAACAGGCGACACATACATTGGTACATATAATGTCTGCAGCTCATAGGTTACATACATTGATACATCTATTTAGGTACTTCATTGCTACATGATCTTGATCACATCCATAAAATTAACTTTCTTTGTGTATTTTATTATTTATTGTATTTGATATGGTATTAGATTAATAATACCACTTTTTAGCTGATGAAGGGAAGTATTTACTTTATGGGACGTGACGTGATGCCCTTGAGATAATGTAATTTATTAGTACTGAAGTTGCTTATAATATTTGTAATTGATTACTACCAATTCATGGTTTGAGCTTCTTTATTTCTTTCAGGGGTGATGTAGTGCAAGTAGACACCTGGGTAGCTGCATCCGGAAAGAATGGTATGCGGTGTGATTGGCTTGTTCGTGACTGCAGAACTGGGGACATGTTAACTAGAGCATCCAGGTGGGAACATTTTTTCTTTCTTTTTGAATCTCATGATGCCGATGTTATGCAAAGTTCTTCTATTGTGCTATTTCTTTTGAAAAAGTCAAGTGGAGCCACAACTGCATTGGAAAATGGTGAATATATTATCTGTTTATTCTTTGACAAATAAAATTATGGGATTATTTGTTGAATATATTTAATGCTAGAGGAAGTAGCAAAAGAAGCAACTAAACATATAGATCATGCAAAATTAGTTGGAAGTCTTCTGCTAAAAAGATTCCCAACTTTCTTAAGAACATGAAAGATATTCTCTGGAGAATGTTTAGCCAATGACCTTTAGACTGTGTGTGTCAAGTGTAACTTTCTGTGAACCAATTGAATGAGTTTTTTGGACTAACTGACGAGAGTTCTCTATAGCATGTAAAGCTATAGTCTTTAGAGTTCCAAGAGTAACTTGTTCTGAAGTTGAATTTAAATGACTTATTTGACTAAGTAATCAAAGTTTTTATGATTGTGGTGGTTTTTATTGGACGCATTGCAGTGTCTGGGTGATGATGAATAAAGAGAAGCGGAGGTTATCTAAAATTCCTAATGAAGTTCGAGGGGAAATAGGTACTTTTTTTGTGGATTCACCTCCTGTTGTGGACGAGGACAGCAGAAAATTACTAAAACTCGATGAAAGCACAGCAGATTATATTCGTAATGGTTTAACGGTAAGTTAAAGGTTATTTCATAATGCAACAGATCATTTACCTTTGAAATGTACCATATAATTTGCCTTGTTTTCATGTTTTGTGGTTTTAATTGTTCAGCCTAGATGGAGTGATCTAGATGTCAATCAGCATGTTAACAATGTGAAATACATCAGATGGATTCTTGAGGTAAATTCCTTTCTTTCGTTTGATGCATAATCTATCTTGTTATTGATTTTCTTGTCTCATAAAATATGATCTGAGACCCCTATGGGAATGCTCGGTTCAACATTAATTTAGCTGAAGTATTTGCTCACTTGTTTGTATCTGCTATTCACGTTAGTTGAGTACAGATTCCTTCCCTTTGTCATTGTATCATAATAACAAAATGATGCGCCTTCTTGTAAATTGTCCTTGTTAAAATCCACCTCACCTCACCTACTTCACCCACTTAAACCTATAAACTCTCCACTAAACTAACCCACTAAACACACTACCCACCTTACCTACTCCACTAACCTTCCAACTAAACTACTCCACTAAACTAACCAATACACACTACCACCTCACCTACTCACTAAACCTAACCCACTACACCACTACACCTCCACTTCACTAATCCCACTACTAACACTCACCCTCTCCTATATATAGGAATATTGTAACCATAACATTTTATACAATCAATAATAATCACATACAATTTATTCTCTCTCTTTCTCATACATTATTTCTTAATGGTATCAGATGGTTGCCGTCGGTTTTGGTTAAACATAGTTTTCAGCTTCTCCGGCGGGCGGCAAACTCACCTGCCCGCCGGGACCTCAACCTACTCCGGCTGATAAAATCAACAAATGATTTGTGCACTGTAGTCATGGTGAGGCGTGATGGAGAGAATTCTCCCTCATATGACGAACATGATCTGAACTGGAAAAATTGCACATTCTGCCTGGAATATCTGCAGCAGCTAGGATTATTAGCTTTGGTGAGTCCAAGCTTTGGTCTCCACCACTCTGAACTTGAGCCCAGCAAAGGTGAAGGTTCATGCTTGTTGTTGGAGGGTCTAGTGTGCGTGAGATCACGCATTCTTCCAGTGGGTTCATGTCGTTGTTGGACTCCTGGCGTGTGTTTGACATGTTGCGGCGAACATATCATTCGCCCTGTTTACAAAAATGTTTTGTCTTGATGAACTGCGAAATGCTTCTACGGGTTTAAAAATCAGATCTATGAATTTTCCATTGCTGCACCAAATCCAGTTGGGTGTCCATTGCTTCACCAACAATTCCAGGTTGGGGTGTTCTTCTGCCAGCAATGCACCAGAGGCTCTGAAATACAAGGAACATTCATAATAAGCCTGGGAAAGAGAAAAAGCTCATGCTAGGATTTCGAACGGTATTCGCTGAGGAAGTTTGGGCTTGGATGAAACCGCTACATACTCCACTCATTCTCTCAACTGTCTAACTTTTTATTTTTTTATATATATATATTATATCAAATACAATGCACCAATGTTCCCCACTAACAGTGTCCACTTTGACCCAACCATTTTCAATCTATTTTCCCTTCATCCTTCTTGCACCCCACTCACTCGACTCCTCCTCCACTTTATCACATGGGTTTAGCCTCTCATCCTCTCCATTTGATTTCAAAAATCACTATTTTATATTATTTTCTTCCCAAAGTCATTTTTCCTCTTTTTTAATACCCCACTTTATATCTTGAAACAGATCGCACTGATGTTTTCATATATCCTCTAAATAATTTTTTTATCTATTTCTTTCTCCCGTTGTTTTCTTTCAATTTTATATTTTATTTTTCAACAAAACACTCCAACAACAAAAAAAAAAAAAAAACAAACAAAAAAAAAAAACAACCATTTTACAAACTTGTTATTCTCTTCAATGCCGTGGGATCAACCCCGATCAGCATTCTACATCCAAAATTAAAAATGAAATAAATAATAAATAAAAATAAAAATCAAAAAACACACAAACAAAACAAACATCAACCACACAAATCGGAACAGTGGGATTTTTTCTTCTCGCCTATCGCGGTCTTTTCTTCTTGGCCTCCGCCTGCGGCTCGTTGACGGTGTTGCCTCCGTGCTTCCTCGACCAACGCAAGCAAGTTGCCTCCTCTGCTCCTCACTGCAGTATATGGCGGACTTCCAAATCGAACATTCACGGTGCCTTCGCTTCCATCTTGTTTCTGCCTTACACGCTTATCTTCTCGCGCATCCTATCATGCGTTGGAGCAGAGCCAGCTGGGAGTTTATCTGCTGCACCCATTTGCCCACTCTGCAGCGGTTCGACAAGTTTGTGACTGCCTGTATGCTTTCCACACGATGCCTCTCAACGTATACCTGATTGGCCTCACATCCCGACCAGCACGCATTCTTTGCTCCAACAGAACGCATCGGAAAGTTCAACGGAGCAAATCCGGGGCACTTGGTTAGGTTCCAGTGCACACCTGCTCCATAGTCATCTCTTGTTGAGCTCTTGAGGTCGGAACGAGGGAGCAGTACCGCTGGGAAGTACGAAGCATTTTCTGGCAGAACACAGTAATTACAGACTATCCCCCCGCAATACGGAACCTACTTTCTCAGCAACCGAAGAATTTGTTCAGAGGTTTTCTCTCAGTTTTTTCTCTGCCTCAGCCCCTGCTTCGTCTTGGTTATAGCCGAGGCATGCACGCGCATCGCGCGCCTCTTGACGCCGCGATAACTGGCACGCCTTTTCAGCAAACATCCTTTGAATAAAGTGGGCGCCGCCTTTTGAGAGCGCGACTTTTGAGGGCTCCACTATATATATCCATATAGTATCTATATTTGGGCAGCCTATTACCACCATCAATACAACAGTGTATTTTTATGTGGTCGACAGCACTCTGTAAATGTCCCGACATGATTCGGTTAGCTTCGTTTAATGGGTCCGACAGGACTCTGTAAACTTGTCCCCGACATTGGATTCGGTTAGCTTTCTTATGGGTTCCGACAATGACTCTGTAAACTGTCCCGACATGCATTCCGGTTAGTCCTTTTGGGTCCACACAGACTCTGTAAACTTCCACAACTTGTTCCGGTTAGCTCTTATGGGTCGGGGCAAGACTCTGGTAAACTGTCCGCATAGATTTCCGTTAGTTTCTAACCAAGGGTGGAGCGTGAAACGTCTTTCCGTCAGGCCGACGACCCGTAAAACTGTCTTCTACAACTGGTCCGACATGACCTCAACATCGTTCTCTACAACGGGTCCGACAATGACCCCATAACACTGTCTTCTAATCACGCATCGCTGTCCGACACTTGACCACTACATACTGTCTTCCTAACAACGTTATGGAACCCGCTCCAGTGTCCTCTACAACGTTATTGAACCCACATACAGTCTATCAAGTCACCATACGTGTCTAACGTTTGACACCTATCGTTCTCAATGGTTGAGCACGACCATACATTGTCACCTATCCTCTTATTTTTTATGTATTTCTTGTTTTGTTACTTCTCTCTCAAACTCAAGTTTGGTTAGTTTCTATCCCCCTCTTGAGTTTGCGGGGGACTGTTAAAATCCTACCTCAACTCACCTACTTCACCACTTAAACCTACTCCACTAACTAACCCACTACATCACTACGTACCTTACCTACTCACTAAACCTTCACCCTAACGTACCTCCACTAACCTAACCACTACAGACCACTACCCTCACCTACTCCCTAACACTAACCCACTACACCACTACCACTCCATTCACTACTCCTCACCTACTACACACTCACGCCTCTCCTATATATAGGACATCATTGTAACGCAATAACATTTATCATATCAATCAATAATAATTGATCATACAATTAATTTCCTCTCTTTTCTTCTATAGCATTATATTCTACCAGTCCTCTTTCTCTTCTTTGAACTAACTGGAATGGAAACTTTTACCATCCTCCATGGCTTTGTATGATTCATACAAAATTCTCAGCCAGATTCATTTATAATTTTATTTTATTATTATTTTATTTTATATTGATGCTATTGAGTTATTTATTAAATTGTTTGTAATGAGTGAGGATTTTCATTTCTCTTGGAAATTGAACCATTATTTTTTATTCTAGGTTTAAGTTTAAATTGAGTCTGTTTTCATAGCCATTTTAACTAAGTTTTGATACGTGTTTCTAACAATCAACGGCAGGTTAGGCCATTAATAGACATCCTTATTTATATTTTATTTGATTCTATTGTTAACGTTTTATGGTGCCCAAGTCGTGTTTTAATATGCTGTATGAAGCACAACGTACTAATTCATAAACGCGGAACATCTGAATGCCCTCCACTGATGTATCAAGCATGTCTGATTTTCGCAGTTCTTGATGTTTGCAGCTTGTATGTCTAGAACATCAAACTGGGCAAAAATCCGTGAGGAGTCCTGTTTACACTTTTCAACAAACATAATTTCGTTGACATTAATTGCTTATAATTTTAAAGCTGATTTTGTTTTCAAAATCAGCAAGAATAAAATCCAGAAACAAACAAATGCTAGCAACTTGGCCTGTACATTAAGAAGAGATGGAAATATTAGAAGAGAGAAGATTTAATATGTGACGGCTTGGTTATCATTGGCCAGTTGAGCTATGCGCAAGCAATTTCAGTTGTTCCATTTTTATATGCATCGATTTAAGAGCTTGTGTAACATACTTGTTGCCACCCGGAACATTGTGCACTGATGTTGCTGTTGGAGTTTTATATGAATGAATGCTGATCTTATGGAAAGTGTGCTCACTGTCAATGGCATTGTGATATCGTGTGTGATTGGTTTCTTTTAACCAAGTACCAAATTGTTGAGGATTTAATGCATTTCCTGACCATTTAAATCATTGTTTTCTCCAATCTTTCGAGCATTCCCTTTGTCACTTGTATCATAAACTACGGGCATGGCACACGACATTGTCACAATGATTTTGAAAAAAAGTTCAGGATACAGATCGGCGAGAGATGGGAAAATTTTATTTTATTTTTAATATTTTATTTGCTATGTAATGATATAATTTCTACGCGACATACGTCGTATACAGAGTACATTATAATAGATTGTGGGTCAATCCCCCTTCTGTTTTTTCCATGTATTCTGTTTACCACAACTGCCTGTACTTGTTTAAACTTAATCAAAAAAAGAATACTCGCAACTGGTATCCTGAGGTCGATGTCCATGAACAGTTCTGCTCCAAAGGTTGAGAATAAAAAATTAATACTTAATAAAATTAAATGCCACATGCGTGTCGGTGTCTGACATAACGACCGAACACGTCATTTTGTAGTGTCAGTGCTTCAGAAGTTTCAAATTTTGCTTGCTAGTTGTTATTTCGAATTCTACATCAGCAAACAATGCCGGTTATTGCAGAGTGCAGCCCTGGTG